GCGGGCCCGCCAGGGCCTGGGGAAGGGGAAGGGAGATGTCGGGAGCCCGACCTTTTCCCTGCCCTTGCTACCTATTTGATTAAAAAAAAGAAAAATACAAAAAAAGTCTCCGTTGTGCAGACTGCGGATGATTTCACTGCGGAACATCTTGACATGCAAATGATGGCAATTAATGCCTTTGAAACAATTTACGATTTCCGGCCTACTTCAACATGTATTAGCATATACCTGGTTTCTTTAATATCCACTTTGTTTTTCCAAAACCACAAACACAGTTGCTGGAATTTCATGTGGAAGTGCTTAAGGGGTTGAAAGTTAACACCTTTGTGAGCCGAGCAGTCTCACAGTTGCTGCTAAACAAAAGCCTCTTTGTAGAAGCTTTCTCGAAATGTTTTCTTAACATGTTCCAAGTAGTTTTAGGCAGGCAACTAAAGTAAACAAGATGTTACCATGATAAAAACACTTGTGAAAACATTACAGAGTGCACTTGGTTTCTTTCACATAAACTCCCCTTGGTTTCATCGAAGTTAAACGCGCACGAAGCCGATGGGCAGCATCCCTGTGAGAGGACCTTGGCAACGCCTCTCCCAAGGTCTCTGTCTCGCTTTTCAAGAATATGTCCGAGTAAAAAATGGTACAGCCACGACTAAGCATGTCTAAACCACAATATTTAATAAAAAGTATAATAAAAAAAAAGGAAGGGGGGAATAGAACGCTGCTCAGCCTCCTTCATTTTCCACCCTGGACACCTCGCTAAATAATCCACCCTCCCTCCAGCTGGGATTTCCTGACCACCTTGCCGTACCAGGAGTATCTATTTCTATCTGCAACGGCCCTTAAACATATGCAAATAAAATCAAGGGGACAGTCAATTCTGAAGGAAAAGTCGCTCTGCGCTACTAATTGCTCCTTTTCCGTGCCGCCTGCGAGCTGGGCCCTGGTTAGGAGGCGAGACACGTGGGCACCCTCCGGCCCTCACCTTGCTCCCCGCGGCTTGGCAGGAGGCCACCAGGTCACCGCCGTGAGACCGGGCTTGTTTTTTTTGGTTTTAAGGCTCGGGAGGTATTCTGGAGCGTCACGGGGTGCTATCATTTCATTAGGCTTAGCAGCGGGCCCCGCTGCTGTGGGTTAGCGCCAACTGGTACGGCGTCACGTGATAACCGATGGCTGATATATTAAAAAAAAAACAAAAACAAAACCCACCAAAACAAAAAAAACCCCAACATGCCACAAAACAACGCTAAACCTGCAACTTATTTCAAAAAGAAACAGGGAAATAAATGCATACAATAGCCCGTGTATCTGCTGGTTCTGATAAGCATCCTCCTGTTGGCTGTGAGTGAAAGACAACTAGGATCGTTATTTGTACAGTATTTATCTTTGAAATCAAGGGCCCTGTGGTGTACCTCACCTTGGGAACAAACACTACAGAACGATCACAGAAGAGTGTCAAATCTCTGGTTTTGATTTACCAACAGTTATGATATTTCTTCCTCAGGAGGAAAAGAAATGAACCATGTTTCAGACCTGCGAGTCCTTTTTTCTCCCTTAACTGCAGAATCATTTTATTGGCATACAGGACTTTCATTCCACAGGCAACTTCTCTTTGCTTTTTCTAACAGGCCTTTTTACAGAGGTAAGTGAAATTAAGCAACACTCAATTGATACATGGGCTGTATTTCACTTGGTAAACAAGAGCTTTTCTCTTGACGGGGCTGTTGAAAAAGCTTCAAGGATTATACAAGTACCAGAAAGAAACTTTGAGCATCTACCTGTTATCTTTTCATTGAGTAATGAATTCTGATAAATGGCAATGCAATTTAAGGATGGATGCTCCACAGGAGACTTGGAAGGCTACGGTATCATTTTATGAAGCAACGCTTAATTCCTAACAGTGTCAATATGCTGCTCAGGGACATTCAATTCTGCATTCGTTCTGGGTTAAGTATCACCCTGAACAGTAACACTTTGTCTGGACACTGCAGAATTTGGATAATGAGAAAATTTACACGAGCCGATGGGTTTAAGAAAGTCACACGAAATATTTCTGCTGAAAGGTTTTGATGGGGAAAAATAAAAGAAAAAGAATGATGATAAGTGAGTGATAAAAGAAACAGATTTGTTGGAGCTGGGAATAGATGGAGCTGCTTCGAGTGCAGCCCGGGCTGGTAATGGTTTTCAGGTTATTTCTACCTATGGACTGCCCCAAGCTTCTCCTCCTGCAGCTCTACTTACTGACACATCTTCAAAACACCACATAAAAATCAGCCTTGCCTCTGCCCACATTGTGTGCCTTAAGGGCTGTGTTTTCCAGGCGTGGTCACGTCAAGCAGTCCACTGCTCTGTAGGAAATCTTCCTGAAACCAGCTGATCTAATCTGGACCAGGTGACTAGCACAGGAAGCAAAGGTGGCACAACCTAACTTCATGTGCCTGCAGTCGTTATTCTGATACCTAAGGCTACCACAGCACCTTTCCCTTGCATTAAGTGCAGTAAAAATGAGAATTGTTTCAAAGGTCTAAATGCTATACAGTACGGCAGATGAATATGAATGAGTTGGCAAGTATGGCAAGATTAGCATTTATTTCACTTAAGTGAACAACAGGATGAATTACAAGAAATGAGGCCACCCTTCATGGAAATTTATGACTAGCACCTTCTTATTTTGTAATCCTCTTGTAATGAGAACCTTCTCATTAGTGTACCGTTCCTTACTCGTAACATATGTTTATAACAGGAACAGTGCTATGAATTCAGGAGAGTTTTGCCAGTGGAAAGAGAACTGGTCCCCATTCTGTTCCGAGAGCAAAAACCTATCTGTACCATCTGACATCCTCTGCTTGCTGTCACCCTTCCCTCTCTCCCATAAAAATCCAGGGAACTGCCCCAGAAAGAATAGGTACAGCTGAATGTTTTTGAGACTAATGCTACTTATTCATCCTGAAGAACCCCGTGAATTTATGCGGACTAACTTCATGAAATCACCACTGTAAATGGGAGCAGATTTTGTCCCTCTGGGCATTTAAAATCATGAAGATTGTTTGGGCAGTTGGTCTTCTGTGACCTTACACCTGAACAGCCGTAACACTCGAGAACAGATCAGTGCCCAAACCTCCAAGAACCTGGATGCACCCAAAGCAACGTGCGTACCTGGTGATCCACTCAGACAGAAGACTCTTTTGTGATGGGGACACTTTTTGCTCCAGCTTGGAGGGGTGAGGCTGGCGGTTTAGCTGTGGAGCAGCCACGTGCAAGATATTAGAGCTCTGCCAGTCCTTCCCCAAATTGGGATGCGCGCGTTGCCACACACTAGTCCGTAACACACTGTTTATGCAACGCATAAAACTGTGTTCTTTGGCAGCAAGGAAAAGGTCTGCAGCAAACTGCAGGGGCCCAATTAATATAATTATAGTTTATTTTTAGTAGTGTAGACTTTGTTCATTAGTTACTTATTTGACGTAAATTAAATTTCACGTGATGCTCTGCAATTCTCTGTTCAATTACGGAGTTAATTTAAGACTAAATTTCTAAATTAACGTGAAATCAAGGTTAGCTCAAGGTTGCATTGTTTACCTCATCAATACTGTAACTTAAAAATTATTTAAATAAATTAAAAAAAAAAAAGGCTGCAGAACTGCAAACACTCTATTTTACAGTAATACACTGAGCAAGACCATACTTTCCCCATGGGGCTAATTTACCATCCCCTGTTAAAACGTTCTTGAGCCTGATCCAAAAGCCACTGAAGTGAAAGGGAGCTCTCTGTTGACTTCAATGGGCTTTGCATCAGGCCCACAGTAAGTGACAGCACACAGAATCTCAGGGCATGCTTTCTGTACAACGCCAGTGCCAAAAAAACCATCCTTACTTTAGAAATGACTGGAAGTCTTCACATACTGCTTCACACCCGGGCCATTTGCATACGCCGTGTCCATAGAGCGGATGGCTGTGCGAGTGCTCCTCGTGGGATAAACTGGAGGAGAGAAAAGAGAGAAAAAGTGGCGTAACTGGACGTACGGCGCCAATTAATCTTCATAAAGATTTCTCAGAGTAGCGAACAACAGATCCTGAAACACCCCGAGCATCTCACGGTACCCACCTGACTCTGCCCGTGGTTTTTCAAAACAGAATTAAATACCACTTGCAGCGCGAAGCACGTGTCATTCTTACTTAGCTATCCTCCTACATTTCATTTATTAATTAAAAGCTTTGTAAAGAATTTAAATTAACATGGACGGGGGAGAAATCATTTGACAGACCTGCTTAATATCCTGCTTGATATTTTGCTAAGAAATTTATGAACATCGCATATTTACAATTCAACTTCATCAGGAAGAAAAGTCATCTCCATGAGGAAGAAAAGTCATCTCCACGAGGAAGAAAAGTCATCTCCACACAGCAGCATATTCTTGTAACATAACACAACCAGACCTGAGGCTTCTTTATCGCTACAGAAAGAGGAAAAGCATTGAGGTTTCAGCCCTGGCAACCCACTATGTCATTTATTTACTAGGTTGTGCAGGTTTTTTGGTCAGCTTTTTTTTTTTTCCCCTCTTTTTTTTTTTTCATCTTGAGGTGTTTTGGTTTTTTCCCCTCTTGCAAGCTGTTTCTTTGCACAAGTACAGTCCCCTTATGTCCCAAGAAAGACTGTTAAAGATGTATTTTCAAATGCAAAATTCACTAGGGGGATTAGGGAAAAAAAAAAGTAACCATATAATCAAAAGGCTCCTCTGTACCAGGGGTTAGTGGGGGCTATTAACCTTGCTGCGATTTGGCAGGAACGTCACAGAGCTCTCTAACTGCTGGAACCAGGGTTAAAGAAATAAAAAAATCCGTATGAGCACGAAGGGGTTAATCCTTCAGCGGGATTCCAATCAATACGTAATGATTTGGCTGCACTGATCCAAGTCATGAGACGCTTTGATCCGGGCCATGTGGTGCTCAGGGAAATGTATCTGTTGCACTAACTGATGAACCATATTCTAAAATATCTTCTTTATTCAACTTCTGCATGGAAACTTCTTAAGTAAAGGAATTATTTTTGCAACAATTTCCATAACCTTAGGTGACTTGAAAAATAAAACGTCAAAAAAGAATATTGAAATCTCTATTTCACCCTCACACACGTATCTATTTTTCGGAGCAAATCTTTTTGCTACAGCATGCCCGAGCTGTATTATGGACTTCAAACATACACAAAGGATATGGACACATACCAGCATCTAGGTGTGGCTTTTAGGTGTTATTTTATTCTGGATTACAGGTAACATTATGGATAAAGACCTATTTTTTGCCATTTTACTTTTATACACATGTGGAAATGCTGTTTATTCCTCTTCTGCAGTATCATCTGCCCGCACACCATAACAAAGTTGTTTTCTTGTATTATTTTGGATGCACTGGAGAGCAAGGTCACTGTATAACATCCCCCTGAGATGTTATCCCAAATGCAGAAAAGCTGGAAGCCCACATTATGCCACTTTTGACTTTAAGCCCAACAAGAATCTGATGATAACTGAAGGTGGATTTTAAAATTACTTCAATTTTAAAAAAATGTTTAAAAAAGGTACAGATCTGACTGGAAAAGGTACCATGAGCTGTACATAAACTTAATTCATTATTTCATTAAAATCTTCATTTTTGGCTGTTTGCAAATAGTTCTTTAAGCATAAATATATTTACGTGCAAGGTATTCTCAGGAAAGTAAGTGAAGAGACCTACAAAAGCCTTTGCTATACAAGCATAAATATATTTACGTGCAAGGTATCCTCAGGAAAGCAAGTGAAGAGACCTACAAAAGCCTTTGCTATAAAGGAATATTACGCTGGTTTAACTCAAATCTTTTTTTTTTTAATGTGCAAGCTCTATCAGTTAAGTTTTTAAGAGAACAAAGAGACCCATGTATTCCTTGCAAGGAAATTAGAAAAATGCTAATCCACGCGTTTTCTCAGCTAAGAAAAAGGGAGGATGGCTGAAGGAACAGCGTCCACCCAAGCCAGACAGGTGCATACGGTCAAACACCCTCCGTACACCTCAGGAAAGAGTCGTTCAGAAAATAATGGGGTTTCTCATCTGCTTCCAGAACACAGACAAGGGTGAGAAAGTAGGCTTTCATGTTAACACTCCATTAAAGTCCATGAAGACTACATATGAGAGTTACAATTAATATTTTCTGTTTGGCACAACCCAAAAAAACCCCAAACAACCAAAAATCCCCCCTCACAGTATTAATTTACACAGTGCGCGTTACCCATACACCGGGACGACTGCAGAAACGCCGTGTGACGCCAAGTAAGGAGTCAGTCCCCCGTGGGGTTTAAGCACTGTAAATCTCATTATAATATCAACAGGAGTCACATGGCTTAAACCCCCAGCAGGGTTTTTTAAAGTTTCTCTGCGAGAGCCTAAAGGCCATGGCCAAGTCAACGGAAAGAGCCCTACCGAGATTCGTATTTATTTTGTAAATCCAAGTGCAAATCTCTTTTCTTTCCAGGGAACTTGTAGAAGACAAGACAAACTATGTAGGACATGATACCCTGGTACTGTGTCCAAAGAAAATGACGGACCGACCAAGAGAGTATCAAACTGTAAGCGATGCTGCGGATGTGGAAGTCTAGCGCTGTCAATAACCAGAAAGATCGGTGTTGGCTGTCAACGGGAACTTTAAAGGTCAATCTGCTAACACGATGTGAAGCGTAACATACTTAACACCTACGTAGAGCTTCCACTGCCACTCGGCGAAGCAGAGAAACTACTTCGACTTACCAAAAATAGACACTTCAAAAAGGAAGGAAAAACCCACCAAAACTCAGTATTGAAAGACAAATGCAGGCACCCTCTGCAGGCAGCTATGCCCATCCCTCTCCGGGGGTTTCAGCGGTGCCTTTCGGTGACCTTTCTGTGTCAGTATCAGATTACTGCTGTTTCATCCAGCCCACTTTTGAAGATATTATAGATTGCCACTTGTTCCCTGATAGAGCCCTAAAGAAGCACCTCAAAACAAAACAAAGAGCTGGTTTATACAGAAGCGGATGTTAACACACAAAGGATACAGCCAGTGGAAATGAATGGAGAACTCTGTTTAACTGATCTAAGTTCTCACTTTGTTTGAGCAAATAAGAGGTGGGAAATGAAGATTTTAATCCAAAACATAAACAAACAGCCTCGTGGAAACAGCCCGCAGCTGTAATCTGAAGTTGTTCAGTGATATTTTGTCTGCATGCAAGAAGTTTCTGTAACCTGGGTGCATCCTTGGTCCCGCTGCCAGAGACAGACTTTAAGAAGATCTGAGCATTGGCAAGCAGAAGCAAGTTTTAGGTCTGTTTGATTTCTAATGACACATTAGAGTAGGTGTTTGTTTCTGTCACCCTCTCCTTCCCAGGAATGCACATTCGTGGTCGGGTACTGGTGATGCAACACTAGTTAGTGGAAGTGATTTTATAACAAGACATAATTTTCAAATAACCGAAGGAACAAATTAAAGAATCAAGATTATGTGGGGTGGGTTTTTACTTCCTCCTGAGGTATCCGCATACAAAATACTTCATAGAATTATTACCAAATAATGCAACAGTGCAGCGTTACTACATCGAGGCACAGCAATTAACCGTTCGGCAAGTAAAACGTTTTGCGTAAGTTGGCTTATTCAGGACACACGACAGAGTAAGCAAATCCACGCGGGAAGCAGAAAACTCTGTTAGTGTCCACTGGTTCCCTGCTGCCTCCAGCCCGGTTTCCAGCAAGGAGAGGAGCCTCTGTGCTTGCTGGATAGAAGAGTTTTTGCTATCGCTTCTGTAAGCTAACAGGTAACAGGTACCCGTGCCGTGTGGCTTCGTTCAACCCCTACGGACTAACTGTGGGAAACCGAGTAACGTGCTCGCACGTGCTGGCAAGAAAAGTCATGGGTGGATACAAAAACCAGCTAAGCCGAAGCCTCCGTAACAGTACTTCTGCCACTCAGTGGACCGTATTTTAAATATTCATGATGCCGACATACTTCATATTCCACTCTCTCTCTTCCACATCTGCTTGGGCCAACGATCTTTGCCAAAACACGAGGGGAAGTCAGCGATGTAGAGAAGCATCCTTGATTTTCTATTACAGTTATGAAGCATCTGCTCACGTTCTAACGGTGCGGAGAACATGCCTGAGCCACCTGCACACTGAAAAATCAATACCACATCTCCTGCTTTCCTCTTGGAAGGAGTTTGAGCAGAGCACCCACGGAAATTGCAGAATTGCCTCTTTTTTCTTTATTTTTTTTTTTTTAAATTTTATTTCTCAGGGGTAGTGGGAAGTGACCTCATCTTTGCCAGCTGCCACAAAACCAATGTCGGTGTACGGTCCGGGCAGGAGCACAGGGCTCAAACCACGATCCCTCTTGGTCTGATGTGGAAGGCACAGCCGTCGAGGCAAAATGACACAATTTTGATCCTTAACATGAGGAGGAGTGACAGAACTGGGAACCAACAGGGGCCTCCTGTATTTGTGACTGCCCGGTGAACTGTGAAGCTCATCAAAAGGCACCAACAAAATAAAGCTCGTGAAAATGTCGCAACTCTCTGAATTAGAAACTCTTGCATTTGATTTAAAAATCAAAGAGGGAAGCAGTAATGATCAAATCCTCATACCAACTGTACTCACTGCAAGTCCCTGCCTCATGGCAAAATCAAGTGAATGAAGATGTGTTTTGCAGTGAAGCTGCACTGTTGCAAATCCCTCTGAATTCTCACCGAGATGGCTTAGCACCTCCTTCCTCTCCCAACTGCGATTTTAAAAAAGAACACCAATTTAAAAAAAATAAACTTAAAAATCACGAAATGTGTTAAGCTGAAATGGACTACTTTTAGATATTCATCATGCTTCTGGCCAAGGCTCAGTAACTGCCCAGAAAGCAGACAACGTGATATGAACAAAGAGTTTGTCTGAGCGGGGTAAATTCCCCTCTACCACTGGATAACGCTTAACAGAGGG